AGATGGACGTCTGCTGCGATTATTTTTCACAAGGAAATACTCATATTGCATCAAAAAACCTTCAGTTTAAACTAGAGAGAACTCAAATGTAGAGTAAGAAATGGGACTTAAAATGTAAGTGACGAAAAACTACTTACATCACTTTTATCCTTCTCAAAATGAATTGCCCTCGGATAAAGATAAACGGACGAAAATATCAAAAAACAGATAATATTAGATCTTGATTTTCTCCCCTAGTAAATGAAAAAATGTCACCTATTAGTAAAATCGAAATTTATGATCGCATATTTACTTCATTTAAGAATAATATTGACATTGTTACGTGTTTTGTTGTCTCACATTCTAGACGCTCACATCACATTCTTCAAGCATATTCATTTGCAGATCGTGGAGCAGCGGAAGGAACTACTCCGTGTGAGAGCTGAGAGTTTATGGAAGAAGGGCAATTTCAAGAACGAGAACACGATGGAAGCCACAAATGAAGCTACCAGCGAAGCCGACGCAGATCCAAACGAAAAGCAGTTCAGTACGTTCATAGACGCCCTGCTGCAGGAAAGCGGAAAGTCTATATCTCATCAGAGCGTATTGGATGAAATGCTGACATTTTTAGTGTCAGTAAGTGCCTTTCCAAAAATGATGCAATGCAGAAACTTAAGTGAATTTCCTACTTAACTTTCTCTGAATAAACCAATTTTTAGATAACAATGAGATAAAAAGTGTTCTATCCCGAGCAATGAGAGTGGTATTGCAATAAGTAATCTATATTCTCCTTAATTTCCATTGTCACAGCTGGTCAAACACGCCTGATTACGTTATTTTCCATCGGCAAAGAAAATACAAGGAAATTGATTTAAAAATTATGTGAAACATTTTCATTTCATTTCATGAATGACCGTCATCTCAAAATTTAAGGAATACTTGATCAATTTAAATCGATAACACTTTCTCCTTGAAAAGGAATCGGGAATCCTCTTTTAGTAGGGCCTTGTTTTGTATCTATGCTCACACAGAATTATCAGAATTCTCTTACGAAGAATAATCAGAATTTCATGCAAACCAAATCTTTACCATGTGAACTGACCACTCCTAATGGGAAACATCTATTTTGAAATTAAAAAATGTTGTAAATTATCCAAATTCTGACATTTATCTTTGCATTTTTATTGTTCCAAAGGGTTTTTTAGCTAATCCAGTAAAATTGGATGTCAATCACGTCTTTCTATTAACCTATAGCCCTTGATCATTTTGATATTATAGATTTCATCTTCATAAACTTTAATTCATGTATTTTGAGATCCGGCTTTAATGACATCAGTCTGGAAATGAACTTCCTATTGTCGACACCAAATGTTTAGTGAGGTGGCAAAACCATGGAACCCGGCTTTACAATAAATTTAAGTTGACGGGAGCGACGTCCATTAATAACGTAAACAACACCAGCATTCTCACAACTTTGGAATTGTATTTGTATTGCTCATTTTCTGACAGATGCCATAAGCAACACTCCTACATGTAAATTATGTAATACTATGTGGACATTCACTAAACAATAAGAATGAAATGACTTTTAATTTTTTTCAGGGCATTGATACATCCGCCATCACTCTACAGTTTGCACTTTACTTTTTAGCCAAAAACCCACTAGTTCAAGTAAGTTGGCTTTTGGATTAACGATACGATTAATCCGAAATCACAAAGTTAAAAACAGTATTTTTTTTATTTTAGGTATTTGAAGTCAAAGTGTTTGGGACGTACATTGGGGAGAAGTGTGTTTTGTGAACCCTTTCTGAAATTTAGCGACCTCTATTCTAAACCAAAAACAAGTTGAGTTATGAAAATATAGTATCCAATAAAAAGCAATTTCTAAAATTGAATTTATTCCAACCACCATCAGTACAGAGGTAGACAAATTCAAGCCAGATCCAAACAATTTTCCAGAAGATGTATCGAAGAATGTCCAAGTCACAATTATCCGGGAAGATGTCCAAAATCGCAGCGTCGTTCCCTGTTCCAAGAGAGAGAAAGTCCGAAACCGTAGCTGTGTCGTCGTAGTTGTTCGAATCCTCTTATCGCTTCACAATATAGGCAGGCGCTGGACTGTCTCTCAGCTCGCCGCGCGCGGCTTTTATAGCCGGGTCGGGCTGCGGGTCCGCTGGCCAGCTGTCAGATACGGGTGCGCCCGTCCGCTCCGGAGCCTGGTCGAGCGTGACGGCGCCGCGGCGTATGCTATCGCCGACCTCTCTTGAGTGGCGGCACTTTTAAAGGCACGCAGTCGGCCACAGCAAAAAACGGGTGGCAACAAGTGTTTGGAATTTGTTAGAAAATATTATTCCATTCAGATTAATGTGACCACTCACCTGAGTTCGGTGAAAACTTGCAATAACCCCTCACATTCAGCATCACTGACAATGGAGGATATATAAAGTGGAAAACAGTGCAGGAGTTGTCGCAATTCAGAAACGAGGCGATTTATCGGACGTCTAAAAGGGCGTGATCATTGGCGTTCGAGCCAAGAGCGGAAGCATTCCGAAACGACCAAGTTTATTATCGCGTGCCGCCTTGGTCAGAGAGTCCGTATCGCCTTGGTTAAAGGATGCATTGCGTGGGAAAGTGGCGATATCCAAATCCGGCGCCGAGGCAACTGGCGCACAACGGGTTGTAGATGTCAAGAGAGAACGACGGCTGCGAAGATGTGTAGGGGCGGATAAACATGCAACTGTAGAGCAACTATTCAAATTACCTACCGGGCTGGACAGCCGTGGTCTAATTATGTTCCCACAAGTTTCGTCTGCTTCTACGGCAGATATCTTCAGAGACGAATAAGCAATCGGCTTCCGGGTGCCTGTACCACGGCGCCACAGTCCCATACAGAACCTAATGGACCCTTTCTGCGCGTCTCGCAGCTATCAACGATGCATAAGGAATTATTCAGGATTTTGAAGGGTGGGCACATTAATGTGATAAGACTCTGTGTTAACTGACGTGTAATAAAATGATTTGTAATGGTAAATTTGTTACAGATTTTAGATATCATTCCTCATTGTGAAAGAATAGAATTACCACCGTGAGAACATGAAAACGTCAATTTGAATAATTATATTCGCCACTGAACTCTACAAAACGTGCACAGATAGGGAAGATAATGTTCGGCAGCAAAACAAGGGCCCACCTCTGCATTCGCTCATGGTCAGTGGAATTGGACAAAAAATCTGTTCGACATGGAGGGTCATGCACTTAGAAGTTGATGTACAATACTTGATACGGTCATATTCAGTTTTTTTTTTTAAAGATAATACAATTCAAATTGTAGTTAATAAATTAAATATCATTGTTGGATGTAATATTAATTTGTTCTTTGATGGTCGTTAATGTAATTCTACACAAACAATTTCAATGCAATTAAAAGGCACATAAGCTTGTGAATATATTGCAATTATTTAATATGGTCAGACAATGTGTTGTAAAATAATGTGTACAAAGGTGTCATAGGCTATTTACAGGTTATGCCGTTAATTGCTAATTTTTCCGCCAAATTTTCTTGTGTCTCCACGTTTCATCCATGTTTCTCGCGCTCACGGTTTGAAATATCTGGTCTTTCCAATTTACGCGTGGTCTCCTTTTCTCCTTCTTTTCCCTTTCCATTTCTCCTTCTGTTTGTTGGAATCCATCCCCAGACTTTTAGAGGTAATCTTTCCCCCAATATTCGCCTTTGATGCCCATACCATAGTAGTTGCTGTTTTTCAATCTAAGTAGTCAGGCTTTCTTTTACATTTGCTCTCACTTTTACCATGTCTGTTCTTACGATCTTGTAGGGTGAGTCTGCATCATTGTCTCCAAAAGTTATTTGCTCTCGCATTTATTCTGTTTTTCATCTGTTTGTTTAAATTCTAGACTTCCGCTTCATATATTATACAACTTTCAATTAGTGATATAAGTATGTGTTTCTTCGTTTCTATTATTATGTTTTCAATCCATGATACAGAATTTAATTTAGAGGCTTCTTTTGTTTTGTGTGCTATCATAATCATTTTCATGTGCTTATGTCACCCTTGTGCTAAGATATTTGTATTTAGAAGTATTCTTTATTAGTTTCCCATCAATATTTAAATTTCTCTACCACATCCTTGTACCATGTTTTCAGTTTATTCTATGATCACTTCTAAACTCCATTCTTTATACCCTTCCACTAGCATCCTTGTCAGGTAATATCTTTTTCATCTTCAGCAGGCACAACTTGGTCGTCAGCGACGAGTAATTTTTTTAATCCAAATTTTTTACTTTCGAAGTCAATTTCTTTAAGCTGTATTTAAATATATTTTTAAGAAAGTAGATGACATGCAGTAACCCTGCCTTAGCCCCTTATTCAGAGGGCAGAATTACGAAAAATCATATTTTCCGTTATTTACACATCTCATACACCATAAAAGTGTTTAACTGCACTAATGTACCTTGGGTGGATATAATTTTCAGCCAATGGCTCCCACAATTTTTTTACGGCCCACTGTCATAAACATTCTCTAAATCTACAAAAAGCAGGTGGAGTTGACTGCCAGAATATGGAGTTTTTTCCATTAATTTCTTTCGACAAAATATGTTTTTTCAGGAATAATTAGAGTGTTATTAAATGCTTTAAAATGTAATGTGATATCGTACTTTTCAAATAATGGTTTAAGGCGAAAGTAAATCATATAAACCGATTATATTTGGAGTACTGATTTAAAAGTCCTGCGGAGCGGTATTAGAAACAATTATGGCTGGATTATCACTCACTTTGAGACCTTTTCAAAAAAATAGATAATTGATTACATATATTATTGCCGTTCTTTATTCTGAGTGAATATTAATAAATATTCTTCCGTATAATATATTATATCTAATATATATATTATATATAATATATATTATATTGTAATGCCCATTACTTCGTCGGGATATATCGGCGCCAGGTTCAGTTCCTGTAACGAATGGATGGAAGTGAAGGGAGGTCAAAAATCAGTTCATAGAATCGTTTCTGACAAAATTGAATTTATTCCTGGCACCATGAGCTGCCAGGGAAGTTACAGCGTCACTAGAGAGCGGACACATTACTTGTTAAATTTATGTACGAGCTCATTAACCTTAACAGTTAATGAACAATATTCTTAACACTAACATTAATAATTATGTCTAAACGATTCATGCATATTTTTAACTACATACACAAGGCCTGAGCGCGGGGCCACGCTTAGGTCTCTCGCCAAAATGTCCTGCCAAAAAGTGAGCCCCCGTTCAAACTCGGGAGAATAGTTCGACTTCGGTTAAATACCGAATATTCACCACTGGCTGTCCGGTGGCTCCGTAAACCGGCCGGGTGGCGGCGTCCTCATTTCGAAGACGGCGGGCGGGCCCTCAGGTCACCGACCCTCCCACTGGGTGTTCCTCCTCGCGCTAGGCAGCGTGTAGTGGCGACGAGCCGTCAACTCGTGCGCGGCTCAGTCAGTTGAGGACACACCTCCGGTACTGGCCGTAGTTTCGTTGCGGGCTTGAATGGGCCCGATATGGCACTAGGCACGCGGCATGCAGATGATCTTACCCGAATGACGCAGGATCTTGCCATCTCCCGCCCAAGTTACCTCCGCGGTAATTTCAAAAGTGCTTATTCGAGAATTGCCTTAAACGTGCTTATTCGAGAATCTGAATTCTAAGATAAGTTTCTCTGCACATCTCGCGTCAAGTTAACCTCCGTTCCCCCTCCTAAAACGTTTCGCGAACCTGCAGATCTGCCCCTTCCCTCACGATGAGACGTCCCATGCCTAAACTAAATGCGTCTTTAATTTTGAAGTTCGCAATCGGCGTTTGGCATCGTTACGAAATTTTTACAGGGAGATCTCTTTTCTACCTCGGGCCCTCTCTCTCTCTCTTCTCTGTGTGTGAGCGATTCCAGAAGCTTCTCTCGCCAGCGTATCCGAACAAAACTTTGGGTTTTGAAAGGCGGGGGGTTTTTGGCGTTTTTTTTTTTTTTTTTTTTTTTTTTCCTTGAGGCCAATAAAAAATTTTTTTGTTCAAGCGGGGGGAGGCTTGATCGGCGAGCCAGCGGACTATTGAGTTGTAAGATAACCCCTGTGGGAATTTGGATTCTCGCGCGGGGCGGTCGCGTGACAAAAGGGGGGCGGCGGGCGCGTGGCCAAAAGGGGGCGGCGCGCGCGTGGCAAAAGGAGGCGCGGGCGGCGTATTGTTGTCTTGGAGCGGTGCTCGGGAAGGGAGGCAGGCGGAGGGGCGTATATGACGGGTCAGTAAAATTGTGTCCGCATCTAAGAGGCTCCCCTCATTTGAGCGCGTCCGGTCGGGCAGCTGTCAATTGCGTGTCCGCGCGGCCTTTCTAGTGTCGTTAGGGCCCTTCGCAACAAAAGCCCCGTCCGCGACCTACTCTAACTGTGATGCGGAGCCTATTTCGATATGAAGATTATTATGAATAATTATTTGGTGGACGCCCACAAATATTAATATATATTATGATATAATATATTATATAGTAATTGTGACGTACCTGGAAGCGGTACGTTTTCTCACAACAAATAAATTATGCAGGGACAGGTACATTTTCGTGAATGGGTCGCCCAGAATTTGGCGTAGCATAGGGAAATAAATCCTTATTAAATTTTTTTCACATCTTAAAATATTGTTAATGATCAGAGAAACACACTTTTCAAATATTTATTTACAAATGCATCGCAGGCCTTGGAAACAAGTGCACGGTCAACGCTACCTTGATGTTTTAAAAACTATCTGCTTCCTCTGGAGCCGAGCGGGGCCGTCGTGGCAACGGCGGCGGTGTCTTCGGCAATCTTCTGTTCGCCCCGAAGTCCGCCCGGAATTCGCCCTCCCTCGGCGACCAACTCCTCTGTCCCAACGTAACGGCCGATGAATTCGCCAGGACCCACTCCAGCTGGAGCGAACAATGTTCCACGGGTATTGGAACGCACGACGCGAGATTGATGTTCGTCGGCAGTTCTAGTCTTTTCAGCGACCTTCCTCAACTTTACGCGGATGTCCGTACAGTACTGCCCACTGTTATATTATACCAGGGCGGGATAATGACACGAGCCCCACCGGCCACACGATTTCCTGTCTTATTGGTTTTTATCAGTTCTGGTGCGCAATTCTACTTCTACTAATCATCTGATTGTTAATCCTTATCAACCTGGTTCCACACTCAGTCCGAATTGCACTTAACAACGACAATAAATCTCTTGGACGCAGCACTGCCCGTCCGTGCTTCACTCGAGGCCTCTCCGCGCACCACTAACCGTCGCACGCCTCGCCGTTTTCCCCCCGATTTGACCGTTGGTGGCGGCGGCGTTACTGCGCTGATCAACTCCAGTACTTTATTTTAATTTATAATTGGTGATCATTGTAATTGTTCTAAATACAGAAACGTTCTTCCTTTCAATATATAATACAATTTCTGAGTATCTGTGAAGAGCTTCTATGGATTCCAGAAGTCGTCTATTTAGGCTGCACTGTTCATTAACATCACGTGACTCTCGGCTACTTTTCTGGTCGCCCGCTTCATACCCAAACGCTGGTGTTTGCTAGGGCAAGAGATAATTTCGCCTGTTTTCGACTCTAGCGAACCCTTTTGTTAAATACTGACAGTTGTCATGAGGCACACGTTTTATGAAGTTACTGGTAACTATGTCTGAGAACTGTGCCTCGTTTTTCCTCGTAATATGGAAAACTGGTGGTCATATTACCACGATTCTGGGACGAAACATAAATGAAATGGCTACAACTTAGAAGAGAATCTTCTCATAAAATTCAATATAAACGTTTAAATTATGAAATGGTTCATTTTGAGACACTGGATATTAGTGAATAAAAATCAAATACTACAATAGAAAACGCACTCCCATTTTTATATGCCATAGGCTATATCACCAGTAAAACCAAAAAGGTATCTTATTCAAAAACTGGTCATTATTTCGCCAATATGTCATAATTTTTACAACAATATTCTATCAATAATAGAGGCCCCTAACGGAGTACTTATCGGAGGAGGGAGGCGTTTAAAAATTAGTTTTACAGTTCAATATGATTTAACTGTATATTCAATTACAATCACAACTTCTGTTCAAAATAAATGCAATAAATACACAATGTTATTATATACTGCTCCAAAATAAAACCAAAATCCTAAAAGAACAAAGAGGGCCAAACCTCATTAAACATAAAAGTTTTAAGAGCAAAATGGACTAGCCCACATTAAAATGTAGTCCTTATACGTTAGAGGGGTGTTGGCCCTTTTGTGTCACCTTCTAACACTCAATAGTAATGAGATAAAAGCTTCCCAAAATAAAAAAAATCAAACACTATTTGATGAAATATTCAAACCCATTTTCTCCCATCTCCTCTAAAGTAGGTTAGTCCACTCTGCAGCTCATAGCCTCATATCTGTTGTGTATAAATTAGTAATCTTCTACCATTTAGTATTCTTTTTTGAGTCGGTGTTCGTTTTAGATTCTGTACCTATGGTATTGCTTTTCCATATGTGTATTGTGTTTTTTTTTCAGCCTTTTTTTGGCATTCACTCATAAACTAAATTTTGAAGTTTTTCAAATTGAATTAAAGAGTATATTATCTCCAACACTTTTAGAATAATATATGATGAATTTTTATCTAAATCGGAACAATACTATATCTTTAATTTTCGAATTTGGCCGACAAATCTACTGACTCTAGTCCAAGTTTATGCAGTACATTTTACTGTGGATATCACGTGACATCAGGTAATCACTTGGATACCACTCATCAAGCTTTTATTCGTGATTGATTCATCCAGACCAAGAATATTTCTTCAGTAATTAAAAACTCGAAAAGTAACACTCGGTTTACTCGAAATGGTTAAAAACATTAGTTGCACTTCGCAAACTCATAATTTTGAAAATCTCTCAGTTACCAGGTACATTCATTTTCAGGAATAATATAGTACATGGAAAATTGTCAATAAGTATGTTTAATTACGAAATTAGATTTTATTTTCGTCAAAGACATGAATAAATCCTAACGATTCATGAAAATGTGGGAAAGCGTACATTAATTCCCAGCGTTTCACCAATCTACTTGTAGTTGCATTAAAACCTTGTATCTAATATACACGTATCTGGCTGACCGTACTGAATGCTATTTTTTTTGGTATAGAGAGAAAACTACGGAGTCACCGCTTGACCTCTGACCTTGACAGATCCTGCTTGGTCTCTTTTGGCAACATACTTGTATCTGCTGGTTACGTCCATGCACTCATTTCGTCAGTGTGCTTTTATACAGAAATCTCATTTGTAAAGAGATTCATCATTTCTTATGTAATGCCATCGCCCTACATTACGTTCATTTGTTTCCCTCTTAGTCAAACTGCTTAGAGTAACACCACTATATCGATGAATTAATTTCTGTTTCAATATCATTATAACATCTTATTTATTATATTTACTGACGTCATACAATTTCACTCTCCGTTTTTTTAATTTCCTTCATACACCTAACAACTCCCTCTTATTTCTTTGCCTCCGCTGAATACATACTTTACACAATTCAATGACAACATGAACCTCGTGTGCACGATGTGGCTATATCACGTCTGAAATTAATTCAGTACCGAATTCAAACACCATAAAACTATTAGACACACGTGTTTTTTATACAAATATTCGAGGGTTTTCTAGAGAGTCAATAATAGTGTCAATTGGTTTGTCTTGTCGGGGGGAATCGAAAGATATATTGATCACACCTGCCGTAAGATCCCAAGTGCGTTAAGACCCCAAAACTCATTGGAGATGTCTAAAACTGCAAAAACATAGTTTTAGAGAAGTTTCTTAGCATGTTGAGGATGGATCCGCAAAAAATGATCAGTTCCTTACCATGATATCGAGACACATCGGACGTATTTTGTCTCCTTTGTTTGGATTGGTGGTCCCGAAGGGGTCTAACAGTCAGTGGCGGGTTGAAGGACGAACGGACGCAGGTCAGTCCATTTTTGTTTAGGGATATTCTTTCATTGTTTTACTTATGCTATTTTTCAGGAAAAGGCCTTGAGGGAGCTTCAGAATATATTCGACGCTGCCGGTTCTACAAAAATAACTCCGGATGCGTTACAACGAATGGAGTTCGTGGAGATGATTTTGTACGAGACCCTTAGAATGCACCCACCCGTTTTCTTCTTTTTGAAAGAAGCAGGCGTTGACACTCCTCTTGTCTCCTGTGAGTATATAAAATGAACTAAGATTTTTTTCGAATCTTGCTTCAAGACCTTTTTGCGCACAGTTGAAGAAAATATGCTGTAAAAATCTCTTTCGCCTGATTCTGTCCCTCATTTCCAAAATCTCCGTACCCTCCACAAAACCCCATGCGTTTGACTCAACTGTCCATCGTTTCTCGTTGAGTAAACGTTCCAAACTTTCTATTTGGAAGATTTTGAAATAATCGTTTTAGTGAACCGTCTGCGATGGTTCAGTGGTATCCACGTTACCCATTGCCAGGTCGAATTTAACCTTTGAATGGAAGCAAATGCTAGCATCCGGCTTCTCTTATCGATAGTTTTATAGTTTTCCGAAGTTTCCTCTACCTATATCAGACGAATGTCGGAACAGTACCCTAAGAAAGAAGGTAAGAACCGCGCGCGATCATACCTTCCTGGTACACACAACATGCACAGAATTATCCGCATGGAGAGCATTCGTCAGATTAGTGCTTGTCCCTGATGGGCTGGTGAAGATACATAGAGGAAGGAACACTGAAAGCCGACATGTAGATATAGCACATGCAAGGTCATGAATGAAGTACAGGGCCATAGAGGATTTCCTGACAAAGGAACATCCCCAATTGTATGATTGCAAAACTGTTTTAAATCCTCATTAACATATTTTTTCATAACAAATGTATTCGTAAAATTTTATATCGAATACATTAAAAAAGTAGTGTAGCTAAAACAGATCATACATTCTCGCCCGTTAATAACTATTCTGTAATAATATTATATCGCATTTCTGTCTATATCAACACATCTCACACAATGAACTCTGGCAACAAGGCGTGCATACAGCGAAAGGTAATGCCAACAATGGACACATATTTTCTTTTCAATTCTTGCTAAAGCGCCATTTTTGCCATAAAAAGTACTGTTTTTTTAGTTCGAATTGTTGAGGTTTTATTACAGTTATTGTGAGGTTGTTTTTTTTGGTACGCAATTGCTTATTTCAAATACATATGTTTTGCCATGTCTCAAAGATATTTTATGTTCATTCTTAAATGTTTTAGTTTATTTTAAATAAAGACATACAGCCAAACCACCATCTCTTCATAATTTATGTAAAAATTAAACAGTTATTGATGCCCTGGAGCGCAATAAAGCAGAAAGCCCACTAAAAAGTTTCATCTTTGCTGCCAAGTTCGAACGTTATTTTTTAGAAAAAAGGAAATAGTAAACGAACGAAAACTGTTATATTTTTTTTATTTCCAGCACACTGTACACACAATCAAGGATAATTTTCTAAATAAATGGGACATCCACAAATAAATACCATTCAATATATCCCATTATGAATGCATGCAAAGAATGATGCATGCATGCATGAAATGAATGCAAAGTATGAATTCGAGACAAAGAATTCATTACCTTATACAAATGTTTTATTTTCTCATCGTTTCAAACAATTAACTTAAACATAATGTGAATATTAATTACATTAATATCCGTAAAATTGTATCTGACATAATTTCTTGGAATTACAGCATTACATTCTTTAAATAAAAAAATAATTGAATACTCGAAAAATCTGACTTCAATTCTTTTGTAATTTCTAATTTAATCATTAACTCGAAATATTTCGTTCTGATGCCTCGGAAAAACAGGAATATTTTAAGTGAAGTACAGGGATGCGATATTAGGTGAAATTACTTCAGGAGAGTCAAATACGATCATGGAATCCAAATATATTCGTTTTCAAGTGACGTAGTTCTTATTTAATCTATCAAATGATTGTCTCTACTTAGAAAATACGAAAAATAAATAACTATATAGACAACCAATAAACATTAATAAGTGATATAAGAGCTCATTTTTATTTTGCATATTATAATTAAAAGAAAAAGAAATGTGTATTGTTGTAAGTTTTGGAATACCTCTAACGTATTAATTATATTTACATTATTTATTGCTCAAGTTACAATACTGTTCACCAGACTTTTTTGAAGGCAATGATCATGAAAACGGAATTTCCTCTGTAACGTAACTTATCAACCTAAGTGTCAATGTTTCCTTTCTTTTCAGCCGATCTCGTTGTTCCTGCTGGAGCTACTGTGATTATGTCTCAGAGGACTTTGCATATGGACCCTAAATTGTACCCTGATCCACACAAGTTTGACCCAGAAAGATTTTCTTCTGAGAATTCTGCCGAACGACACCCATTCGCCTACATTCCGTTTTCTGCAGGAATGCGTGCTTGCCCTGGTATGTACAAATTATTTAAATAAAGTCATGTGAATTTTATTGAAGACTTGAAGAGTTTTGTGTATTGCTTTGTAAGGTAAAGACAATTGGAGTATTTTTGATGAACTGTTCCATTTTTTCTTCAAATTGTTTTCTCGGATAGAGCAAACGTCGCTTAAACATCGCAAGTCTTCATTTTTATTTTAATCTATGATTTTCTAAAAATTGCGAAAATTAGAAATGACGCGACGAAATATGTAATGTTGTAGCGGCATTCATTTTAATCTTTCACTAATAGAGATACATCCCTTGTAAAAAGCTACACGCACGAAGGTTGTCCCAAGATGGCCCTGTCATGATATATATATATATATATATATGTGTGTGTGTGTGTGTGTGTGTGTGTGTGTGTGTGTGGTATGTGTGTGTGTGTGTTTGGGGGGGGCGTGTGCGTGCGTGTGTGTGTGTGTTGATCTGATAGGCCGTCTATACAGATACTCGATAGCGAAATATTTACGTAAAGTAATTGGTTTGTTTCCTAGGATTGGAACCCCTTTGTATTTTACTCATTAATAAAAATGCTTGCATTAGTTATGAATAATCATATTAATTATTAATAATCGTATTATATAATATTTATGGAACAATTATATAATAATATTATTATTAATATATAATATTACTATATGTTATTAATTACTTATTAATATTATTAATATGTTATATAATATAATTATAATATTATTATAATATATAATATTATTATTACATAATAATAATTCAATAATAATATTAATATATTAATCATATAGAAATATTCTATTTGAAAACTACAACAATAACAATTTTGGTAAACATAATCTTCCATGAATTCTCTTATTCTCTTTATCGAATACTCGCAACAAATCCATCCCTTTTTGCCTGCATGGCCAAATTACCTCTTAATCATTAATTTAGAAATTATACTGTAATGCAAAACTTGATCTTTCTACAATGGAAAATACAAATAAACGTAAATATTCCCCGTTTGCTACTTTCCTTCCGGAGATCCGCCGCAATCTTGAATGTCGTCCAGTTTCCATTCAACTTCCATTTCCGAAGAAACCGGTCCACTCCATTAATGTTCGCGTCTTCTACACACGTAAGTATATTTCATTTCTAATTGTACTACCTTACTTCCTTAAAACATCGCCTTTTCAAAATCACAATTCAGCCGAATTCTTTCCGCAACCAAATAGCGTTCCCATTTACATCTCACTCTCACCGAGTCAGAACATCGCGTGCTTCGTTTTTTCTTCTCGCGCGCCCTTCATCTGTCGCTCTCACTCGATCTCACGCCTGATTGGTCACACACATCTAACATAGTATTTGTTTATTTCTTGGTTCCCTGTTCGTAATAACTACATATTTTTTCTGCCCCACAATATTTACTCACGCTTCTTTTCACTGCATTATTTATTAAAATATAATGTGTAATCCTTACTGTCAATTCCGTTATTCTTTCCTTGTTTTATTTCCAAAATATAGCTCACCTCGGCGTCTTTTCAATACATGTCGTCTTATGTCGCTGTCGTCCATGTTTATAATCACATAAATTTATTGTGAAATCTCTTCACAGTTGCAACTCGATTTGTAAACATGAAAGGCAAATATGAAGTTCTACAGTGTCGTTATCAGTTCAGTTTTCTCATTTAACATGTTACTTCAATTATGAAAGTTTGACATACATTTTTCTCGTACCGTAGCGTCCTACGGAACCATAATACACACTTGCGTTTCGCGCGCTGCCCTCACAAGCCAATCAGAGAGCTCTAAAAAAGTCCCATCACTTATGAGAAATGAGAACATGCCACCTGTTGTATTACGGGTTCTTCTACACATTATATTGCCAGCTTGTTATTTTTAGATAATTGGTGAATGCATATTTATATTTTTGTGTTAAGAAACTAAAATTTCACGTTAAAGTTTTTAGTTTGTTGTTCATATTGCCATGAAGTTGCCTCCTACGCGTCTTGTCACCTTACCTTTCAGCTAGCTCAGAAAGTAGCGGTAGAAATCACCTTTCAGCTGTAGAAAGGTGGCCTGAAAACCAGGGCGGACGTTGTTTCGATTAAAATGCAAGTTATAAAAATGAGGTTAATATCAAATTTAATGACTGAAAGAAGAAAATTATCAATAATGAGAATGATAATAAGCCTACTACTCGCTCGTTGGATTTTCCCCACAATAAAAGTCAAAAGACTAAACAAATTCTTATGTTTAAAAAATTACACGATTTTCCGCAGATTCATTATTAGGAGCCAAAGACCGCCTAAGAAACTTTACTTTCTTGAAAAGAACAACTCTTGAATTCAAAAGCCCATTTGTTTAGATATCTCTCCTTCTCTCTCTCTTTCTCTCTCTCTCTTTCTCTCCCTCTCTCTCTCTTTCTCTCTCTCTTTCTCTCTCTCTTTTTCCCTCTCTTTCTCTCTCTTTTTCACTCTCTCTCTTTTTCTCTCTCTCTCTCTCTCTCTCTCTCTCTCTCTCTCTCTCTCTCTCTCTCTCTCTCTCCTCACCTGAATAGAAATGCTTCTTAACCTTACTTCTGTCCGTCTATTCTAATCTGCCTGTGCCCGCTCGTGCAAGTGTCCACGAGTGTTGGTTATAGGTTAACATTGGCTGCGCAGAAGAATTATTTAGTCTAATCGCTGAAGGCGTTCTAAAAAGAATTCAGGCGGGAAATCTCCAGTACTTTCTGTCTCTTGTTTCCTCGTCTCGCACCGTATTTACGAAAAACGCGTGCGGGTCTACCTGCGTCGCGGAAGTAGGCCCGGGCGAACGTAATTGTGGCTAATGGCTTCTGAGTGGTGAGCAGAGGCTCGAAGAGGGGTGGCTACGTCGTTTCTGAGAGGATGTTTCCTAAAAGATAAGTCAACAGAGTAGCGACCGACCCGAAGCAGGCCCCCTCGTAGACTTTATACGGTCTCCTCTAACAATTGGAAACGAAATATGTGAAAATCTTAAGTTTAGTCTTGCCAAACAGCCAGAATTTGCACGTACTTGTCAAGTCATGTCTGAACAGAAAAGAGTTCTTCGAATTCGAGTAGAGTGTCTAGCCCGTGAGAGCTCAATTTAAAAATATTCCGTATGTACCTTTTTTTAAAATTATTTCTTCTCGTTTTAAATGAGGACTTCCGAGAATTTTCCGTGTTATATGCTGAATAATGTAGGTTTGGGCACTCCTTGACAAATTAAAGTATTAGAGATTAAACTACTTTGACCCATTGAATTAAATGTTTTGTTTAGATATTATTCAATGTTAGTGTTAATTTTTGGTAATTAACTGGAAGAATATGACCTGTCGAGAGGGAAGAACGGAAATATGCACGTTGTAATCAGAATTATTGATTTAGGTAAGTTTTAAAAAAAAAACTTTGGAAACGTTGATTTTATTACGATGTATATTGTTCGTACTAGATTGAACTTAAGAGTGAAAAGAGATGAGAAGGAATTTAAGAGGGAAAGGAGAATAGAAATTATTAGCTACTATTACTTTGTCGCCCTTACGAAGGAAATTACAGGGTACTTTACATTAAGCCTCAAAAACATTTTCAAAATTTTCCCAATAATGGAATCTAATATTTTGATTTAACTTTGTCTTCAGATGGCGTTTAAGAGATCTCAAAACACGTTTAAGAGAATGATGCATGTTTCATGTTCTTCGAACTCCAACATTTTTTGAAACTTGAAAAAGGGCAAATTTTTGGGGCGTCTTTATACAACTATAATAATGAAGATAAAGTTGTTTTTTTTTCCTTAATGAAATTTTTTTCCTTAAAGACAAAGCTTCAAATACGTTCTTGCTCAATGTTTCGAGTAATTTGTGCGCAAATTATAGGCCAGTTAGAAACTCTTTAAATAATGTTTTCAGAAACCCTACTCCAAATTCCTTCTTTAAATTTTCTATTTATATGTACACCGTATTAACGTATCGTTATGTGTGTTGGTAAAAAGGGCCCTTAATATTGGAAATTGTACATTGTTAATAATCTTCAAATATCGTTTTGATAAAATATCATTAATGCTCTAATCAGATAATGTACAATACTCACTAATAAAAAAGTTTTTATGCAACTTTCAATGGATTCAATATATAGACTAATTTTGGTTTTCTTGTTGCAGGAAGAAAATTTGCGATGATGTCTTTGAAAACCACTATTAGTAAAGTTATTTGGAATTTCCAAATTCTACCAGATGAAACGTATGAACCAGAGTTACTTTGGGGCCTCTCTATGGTTACGGCCAATGGAATGAGGATTAAACTTCTAAAGAGATAAACGTATCGAAGATAATAAAGAGCGCAAATTAAACAGTAGCTTTTCAATGCTACCCAGTTCCTATAGAACATGGGAACCGGATGGAATGGAGCTGATCTTCAGAATAAATTGAAATACAATTAAAGGAAACGTTTACTTAGTAAAGAAGTAATACTGCATGTGTTTAGCCATATACAGTCAAACATTCTCATAACGGAAGAGTACGAGACAGATCTAAATTTCCTTTTAAGACAGGTTTCTGTTATTACCAGATTTTCAAAATTTACTAAGCCAACTAAAATGTAGTTCGCCACAAAATTATTTTTTAATTAAATTAATTTCTATTTTTTAAAGAAACTTAAGCAACCCTTTGGGTAGTCCTTCATCACCCATTCTGGCTGATAAAGATATGGAGAATTTTGAGCTGGCCTGTTTACATTTCCCTTTTGTACTCCTAAAATCTATAGAATATAAGTAGATGACACCTTTTTAATTATTAATAGAAATAAAATTTACCAGGTTCTTCAACAGTTATCACAGTAGATTGTCATTCACACATATAATGGGACTGGAAACCAAGCAGAATTTTTTAGACGTCGAGGTCATGAAAATTGGTAACCTCATTACCCCAAACTGGTGCAAAAAATGTACCTTCTCGGGGAGGTACCTTAACAACTATCCTAACCACTCTAATATACAAAAAGTCAGTGTAATTACACGTTTAGTCCAAAGTTATTTTTCTGTTATGATTGTAATTTTTCTGTAATGATTATCCTTGTGACCTCATCAACACAATTATAACTAAACCACTTTCTAAAATTAAAAAAAAGCAGATTAACATGTAGAGGACATCAATGGAGAAACACAAGAACTTAAAAGATAAGAAATAAATATTGTGATCCCCTTTGTCAAAGATCTTTCCTTTCATACCAGATCTACCCTACAAAACTATGGGTTCGAAGTTATTTTTGATAGTTACAATAAACCTAACCATATGATTAAAACACCTAAAGATAAACGTAATAAAGAGAACAAGCCTATTATGGTTTACAAATTTAATTGGAATACACAAGGCTGTAATGAGGCAAATGTGAGCCAAACAAAGCGTCATTTAATCAAAATAACGAAAAAAAATTGGGGATAATGAAAAGAAGGAGGATTATAATGTGATCTCAAGAAGCATTCAATACTCTAGCGTCATAATAGATTGGAAGTATACAGTGATCTTAGATCAATAACCAAACTGGCAAAAAGGCTAGATCACGAACCAAACTGACTAATATTAGAAATTCTTTTTTTTTAACCATACATTTATTCTAAATGACCGAAAAATTATTCCTATTTGAACACCATTTATGACAAAATAATCAATGTACTATAATATTCACTTGCCCTACATTACATGTTTAGTGTATAACGTTATATAAACTCAACTGTTTGGTATTTAACTTTCTGTTTCTCATACCCTCTTCACTTATTTTTATATACTTACATATTACAGTTCACTTTACTATTCAATATACTTAAAATTTCCTGCGACCTCTTCAAGTTTTCTTGACGTGTGTGAGATTCATTTCTCAGCTGACTTTGACTCACTAGGTTCTTCATTGAGTTAGCAAATAGATGTTGGTACTTATGACGTACACATAGTTTTGGCTGTCCTGCGATATCTAATACGTTTATCTATTTTAAATTAATAGATTAAAAAAGATAACCTTCCATAACGGATAATTCAAGCGATTCGATGTTTCTTAACGTTGATCAACAGGCTTATGATACTTGTTTACATACAATAAGCAACCTGGAGTTTACTTTTAGATTTTCAACATGAGTACGTGAACTTCTACTACTCGTAACCCGCCTATGTCTTACTGATGTTAAGCATAGTTTCTACAATTGATGTATCACACTGATGTATATTAGACGGGTAATTGTTTGTATGGTTTTGTAACATGTCGTTTTCAGAAACAGAACAGGACTTTCACAATGAGGTTAAACATTTTAAAAAAATGAATAGATATAAAACTTGATTTGAAGAATTGTTTTTTTTATTGGAATGTTTGTTTAATCCAGTGATTCATGAATTAAAGTTTTTATTTTGGATTTTTTATTAGCTAATTAAATTTTGTCTATTCTTCTCTGTTTGGTTTCTTTATGGCTTCCATGCTTTCTACAGAATGTGTACCAAATGTCAACGCTAATAAATTGCTACATTCTATCTAGACATTGAACGGCTATTTTTGTTTCTTCCTGTGCCATTTTCCATCTTCAGGATATGTCGATTTCGACTCTCCGTGACGGCTACCCACTATGCCCCTCATGGGGACACTCTATCCTTTACACTAGACACTCACATTTGCGGACTGCTCAGTCTGTGGTCAGCAGACTCGCAAGGTCTCGCGCATCAACAACACATACGTAAAAGACAAGGAACAAACAACCATGCTCACGACGGGACTCGAACCCGTGGATTAGGCACAAGCTCTAACCATCACGGAAACCAGGTGGGCAGATATTGACATTTTGAACTACCATAATACCCTTAAATGAAAGTTTGTAAATCTATTATGTGAATTGTGCGTAACCGTCACAGTTCTCTTTTTTCACTTTTTTCTTGATCAAATATTTCATTCTGTTGTATTCACGTCTGTCTTCTAAATTCTTTGTGGAAAGACATCTAAAATATAGCTTCTTCTTTTCTTCGACCAAGTTCTTTATATCTTCTGTTCACCACAAGGCTTCTTTTTATATTCACATTTTCCCTCCTCTCCCAAAGCTTCTTTAGCGGCTTCATGAGTGCATTTTTCTAAAAATTGGTATTTTCTTCAGTATTTCCGATTGGGACCTACTTTAATTTATCTGCCATTCGCAATATGTACAAAATGGCAATGGTATCATCTTGAAGGCTCTCAATATTGTATTTCGGCTACATCTGACTCTCTATTATTCCACCTTTTGTACTTGTATTTGTGTTTCCGTAGCTAGTGAAGTACGGTTTATACATAAGGTAAGCTTTTCCTTTTAGTGGGTAGTGATCTGATCCACAGGAAGCACCTCTTTGAACCCGAACATCGCTCCACTTTATTGATGACTGTTGTTTAGTAGTTATGTAGTCAATTATTGATTGCAATTTTCTAGTGGGTTGGGTTCACGTGAATTTATGTGGATAATAGCCATTCAATATTTTAAGGTCATACAGTTCACATGTCTCTTTAGTCTTTCTCCGTTGTCATTTAATACATTTTCACCATATCGCCCTACAACATTATGCGCCATTTGTTTTCCAACTCCTCTATAAAAATCACCTAGAAGCACCACTTCTTTGCGATTTCCAGTAGAATACAGCAGCATAGTCAGTTTCGCTGTTATCAATTGCTTCCCAGCTATGACTATGTTTCTCTAATCTTTTATGGACACTCCTGCTCTTGAACATTTAGTTTTCCCACTTCACTAAAAAAGTGAACATAATTTCCTTTCCTTTCATTTCGTTTTCCCTTCTTTTTTGTTTCACTCAACACTATTATATCCATGCTGAACTCCTGTATTGCGTTAAAAACTTCATTTACTTTAGTGCTAAAACCTTGAACATTCCATCATCCAAAATGCATAGACCATTTTCTTTGCCTTTGTCGACGTCGTGGGTTAATCCGAGGCTCATTTCCATTGAGAGTTTTTTTTCGAGTATGGGGATGCTGGCTCCATGCCTCAACCCCTTCAAGGAGGACCGGATAATTTTCTTTTAGGGTTTTCTTCCCTTAGATTGAGTGTCTTCCAAGACTCTCAGAAGGTCAATCTACTCCTATTTGAAACACTTGCTTCTGAACAGGAAAAAGGGAATGGTAAGGATTGAATTATGCCTTATTTTACGTGGCGAGACTCAGGCCATTAGGCCTGCTCTTCCGTCTGACCACGCAAATTTCGCTACGCTCCTTTCACCAACTACCGGAGAAAGGAGGTATCTTGGGCGAGAAACAGGCGACTTGAATTTAGCTCAGAGGCGTCATTTAGGCTTGAGGATCTTTTACATGCAAGTAAATCTACGAACATGGGACAGCCGGCTTTACTTCCCCTCCGAAGGAAGGCGTATGAAGGATTTTTTTCGATACATCTAAGGTTAGAAAACGGAAGCCTCCGAGCTACTCAATCCACACATTGGCTCCCGGAAGGATTTAGGGAAGGATTTGAGGTAAGATGGATATCTTACAGTTACGGACAGCGGTCATCCACTCCTTTGTAGGTAAGAGAAACCAGGCTAATTGATGCATTCCCCGCCCACCGGTAAGGGCGTGCAGAGCGATGGGGTCGCTACATCCCTACGCCTATAATATTTCAATATTCTTTCACAAAAGTTGGCTGTGTTCCATCCCCCGTTTATCACAAATTGTTTACACCCTGCAAGGCATTATGCACACAAAATAAAACTGAAAATAATATAGGTTCGTATTTTTTTTATAATGAATTCGTGATGTGTGACGATTGTGCGTGATTAGTGCGATATAATGAATTCGTGATGTGTGAATGATTGATGTGCGTATATTAACATTGACTACCTGCGCTATGCGTAACGCTGATCACTTAAGAGTGAATCACACCCTGTTGCGCAGGAAAAACTTCGTGGAATAATATGCGAGTTATAGAATTGCCAAAATTTTCTACGAAGATCTGCATTTCACTCGCGAGAATCTGAATTTTCTCTTTTGCTGTCGTCTTGAGAATTATACAGTATATCGCTCTCGGAGATTTCCAGAAGTAGTCTAAATTTGCAAGACTGCATACTGTGATGATAACAAGGCTATCTTTAGAATGTCAGCTGGAGAAGATAAAAAGGATGAGCATGAAAAGAAAGAGCAAAGATATTTTCTTTAAAAACAGGAGGTAACGGATCCCATAAACAGCATTCTCACTCGGATTAGGTGTCTTTCTCCATTGCAACGTTACATCCGGTAGAGCTAGCATCTGTCATTGTTTTCTCCTTAGACAATTACATAGTTATCGGCAAATTACTGGCATAGGAATGTAAACCCTTGTTTCCACGTCAGTGATTGGCCAATAATGAGATAAGTATATTAGCAATTGATAGCAAATATTACATGTTTTTAAATACCATACATCGGCAATTGGATATAAGCCTTATTGTCCGGTGATTCCTTACCTTCGTTTTATTCAATAGTGATAATCTATTTCTTTTTTAACTTGAGTTTACATTTCCAAACATCTACTAAATTCAATATTTTTGTTTAATACCCAAAAATTCCTTATTAGTGTTACTTTTGCATTTCCTCATAATGAGGCACCCACTGCAAAAAAAAATATTGTTAGTACAAATTGTTGATGAATATAATGCATTTTACAGAACTAATTGTCGTAATAATTTTAAATCCCTCTTCTTTTGGGTACCTAAAGCTTGGTTTTACAGATATTCATTGCGAGCAAACACGACCTTATTAATCTCGTGAGTATCAGAGTGTTAATCATTTAACAATCACAATTATTTGTGCACAATAGCTGATCAAACATGATAAAGTGAAAGTATTGCGTTGCCGCAAGATAGGATGGCAAAAAAACCTAATCTCCCGCTTTCGCCAGAGGCCCAAAAAGTAACCATCTTTTTGAGTGTTCTAGCGCCTAAACCGTCCTTTAAAACTCAAAGTTAAAGTTTGTAGGAAATTTTATATACTTTAATTTTATAAATGAAAATTGTAAAACGCACAGTTTTCACGATATAAGTGAAAAAATAAAAACAGA